TTCGAACAATCAAATTAAAGCAATGAGAATTATTATGATCATCACATGCACAAAAGTAATCAAGAATTTTTGTTTAGGCACCAAATAAGCAGCATTGGTTTCTTTTAATTACCGATGAAATTTTTAAACTTTTGCAGTTATATATTATCCTTTTTTATGATGTTTGGGGATCAACCCCCCTTTGGACTGAATAATCGGGTGGGGGCTACCCGACTTAGCGAGTCAGATGCCTTTTACGGTCTTTTCATTATTTGGTGCCAAATTTATTTATTTCTCCATCAATCATACATGCATGTGAATCTATATTATGCCAGGTTGTAAAGATAAACTACTTTAGGAGTACTTCTCAGGATTCAAGCACTATGGTACAAATCTACACGTTAGACTCGTATCACTGTCACATTATTTCGAACTTCCTACCTCCAAACAATCATCCCTTTATCTCTATATACTTTCTGATTTCTTTGAATCCAAAGCTCTTGTGCAAACCAAAATAAAACATTTTGGTAAAAATTTGGGAAGGACTTCAACTAATGGATTTACACAGCAAATAACATAAAACCAACAAATAACTTGAAAAGAAAAGCAGTAAAAAAACCCCAAACTTGAACTAAACATTGACCCTAATATTTCAGAATAAGCTCGAGGAAGGTGACTCACAGAGGATAATGCAACACCAGCCACTTCCTTCTAGCTTTCACCAGTAAGGCTCACTTTTTATTATCTGCAGAAAAAATGAAACAAACACAAAAAGAAAAATTAAGTTATTAAAAGCATGGGTTGCCTCCCACAAAGCATTTCGTTTAACATCGCATGGCTCGACGGTTCATCCCCTTGTTAGAGTGACATATATGACACAAAGAACAGATCATCTTTCTTCTTTATTTTGTTTGGTAGCAATCCCATGAACTTAAATTACTAATGATGTTGCTTTCAGATCATTATCAGCTCGATTTTATTGAATAAGGCATAAGTGACATCCAATACTTTGTCAATTTCTTGTCCGTCACCAGCCTTGTTGTGAAAATAATTTTTAGGGAGACTTTTTTGTTGAAGATTTTATGGTTGGATGTCCTCATCTTCACAAATTGTGAAATTTGTAGTTTTATCCAAAACTAGATCATCTTCAAGTTTCCTTATTTCTTCTTCCTCATCATTCTTGTTTATCTCAAATTCTTCTATTCTTACTGCATCTTTGTCATCTGATGTTATGCATTCTTCTTCTGATTTCACATCTTCATCTTCCAACTGTAACTTTTTCCACAGTCATACCTCCCTCCTATATGCTTTAAAAATTTCAGTCACCTTTTCTAAAGTTAATCCTGAATTAGGCGACCAACATACAGGAAATACATGTGGCAATGTATCGAGATAATACGTGACTACAATACTCAGACACTTGGTTAGTAGAAAAGTATAGAATAATTCATGAAGCAAACAATAATCTGACCCTCTTTTTTCTTTTCTTTTTTATAATAAAATAAAATTCAAATTAAAAAAAAACTAAAATAAAATTTTAGTTGACGAGCAACAAAATTCCAATTGAACTAAAATTGAACTCTATAATTTGGCAGTCCCCAGCAGCGGCGCCAAAAACTTGATGAGAAAAATAGCAAGTGTACTATTTTTTCCTTGTAGTAATAATTGGGAATTCCCCGAATGTCGATCTCAAGGACTGCATCAATTATCGAGTTCAATTCACGTTCACTTAAACCAAAACTTTAACTGGGAGTTTGGTTTAGGAATTGTCACTTAGCAGAAATAAAAATAAGCAAAATGTAAATTAGGGCTTTTTCACAAATATGAGGAGTATGATAGGGCATGGTATATAATTTGCCCTGTAACAACCTTGAATCCTGATCTCTTCAACAAATTCATATCCTTCAATTATCAGCCCTTTAGATTAAATTCCCCTAAGTCCTTAATGGAAAAACCTATAACCATCCATCCTAAATCCTAAGTCCTTAGAGATATTTGATGGAGTCAAGACTTTATTTTATCAAGGGTTAAATCCGATAACTATAGGGTATCCCTAGTCCTAGGAGATATCTAATATAACATAATTATACAAAAATCTTAACAACCGTGATCCAGCTAGTTGTTAACCGTAAATCAATCCTAATTTGTCCAATCATGAAGGCATAAAAACATTGTACAATTAAATCGAAAAGAGAAGACTTTATTAAAAAACTCAAGAATTCATAATCATTATAGATTCAAATCAGGGACACCACCTAGCATTGGGGGATTTAGCTACTCATATTGTTCAAAATAATCACAAGATAAAATATAGACATTACGAAGATTGGGATGAACTTTGATCTTCAATTGCTTCGGCTCATGAAAATCTCCCGCTCTCCGAAAATCTTGACTTCTCCAATCTTCAGTCGTATAAAATATTCTTCGCTCTAACAAAAGGTCAAAAAGTCTTATAAACCAAATAAGTATTTTCACTACTAACTCAAACTGGGTCGGAAACATAAATCAGACCCCTAAAATGACCTGAAACAACTAAATATCTAAAGTTTACATCTTTAATGATTTTTTTTAGGCTTCTACAGTCTGAATCAGCTTCTGACTTTAAAATGAAAGTTGTAGCTCTTTCTTTCAACTTTCCAACGAATATTAGAACGCGTCGATCTGATTCCCGTAACTCCAGTTATGAATTTTTAGTGAAAACTAATCAATTAGCGCATTGTCTGACACGGGTGGCCGTGTCAGGCCTCCTGAAGCGTGTCGAAAACTTTTTCGAAACTCTGAATTTTGCACTTTTTTCGCACTACTTTGTCCCAATTTATTCCTGTGAACCTGAAAATAGTAAAACATACAACCAACGCATAAAAAGTGGTAAAATGAAATAAAACACTTGACAATAAAAATAAAAGATAATTAAAATTAATGGTAAATAAATATGTAAAAACTACTGATCATGTCGGCACATACAATACTTAGGTCGACACATACTGTTTGTTTGGTCAATTTTTATAAAATCCTTTTATTCCGAATTTGTCCCTTTTGCCCTAAGAGTTTCAAAATTATGAATACTTTTTCTTGCATCAATTATAACTTGGTGAAACCATAAAATTAATCCATTTCTCTCTTCATCTTCAACCTCTAATCTATGCATACACACTAACATTACATTTTATCGATGTTCCATTGGGGTGCCATATAGATGAGGATTGATAGTGTCCAATTGTGTATTGGGTTGAGCTTTATAGGATTTTCATCTAGGAAAAACCCCAGGCTTGTCCTCCAAGATCATTGGTTGATTGGGGGATTTTCATGCAAGACGTTCGAGAGGTAATTGCGGCCAGTGAAGTCCTTTGAAGATAAAGAACACAAGAGATCCTTTGGAGATAAAGAACACAAAAGAAGTAGCGCGAGAACGGTGAATTACAATTGAAGTCTTGTGTTTGAATAGTTTGAAATCGACGGTGCACGAAAGTTTTGGAGATAAAGAATGCAAAGGAGTAGCAAGATCCAGATAGTCAAATTACTTATGTCTTGGTCTTTCTCAAGATCAAAAGAGGAGAAGGGGTTGAATCAACAACAAGCTTAGAGTTTATGGAGTTACTCTTAAACACTTCTCTTGTATCAACAATTTTGCATAGTAAGAATTACCTTAATTTCATTGAAATTAGGCGCAGACATACCTACACGCAAAGACGACAGTGGAGAACTATGAAGATAAATTTCTTGTGTCTCTTTTATTTTTGCTTTTATTTGTTTTGATTTTCATTAATCGATTTATCAAATAACATTGCGTTATCAATTGAATTGTAAGAATTTTTCGAATAATTTTTTATTTTAAATCTTGTGCTGATATAACTTACTTTTGATTATAAACGGTTTTGTGTATCAACACAACAAAATGAAAAATTCTGAAAATTCCCTTGCACACCAAATATTTGATAAATTGATCTAACTAGCTCTTTTAATATTGCCATTGAAAATAGCCTTGCAAATAACTTTCAATAAACGATAAATAAGTTGTTAATTGATTCAAGTTCATTAATTCAATTTATTGTTCTCATTTCATATTGAATTTGTTAAATACGTTTTACATATCCAAGCCTCCAATAACGTTCATACATATGACATTTTGAAAAAGTCTCCAATAACATTGGACACATCATTGGTACACTAGCAAAATTAATATATTCTTAGTATAATTTAGTATTCTCCACGCATAATTACTGAAATTAATCTCTCAAATCCAAAAAGACCACAATAAATAACAAACTTCTCCCTCAAAAAATTTAACAATGTTAAATGCGCATGCCTGATTTCAATCAGATTGATTTCAAACAGATGCCTATGTATCAAACTAGATTTCCCAAAATCACATAAAAGGCACAGTAATCTCGATTAAATACGAACATATATTATGATGTTTTCTCAAGGCATGGGTAATAAAGTTGGAACATGCATATTTGAAGAGCTCATCAAAAATAGCAAAAACCTCTTCGTCATGTTTTCTCCCAACTGAGAGCTCACACTTCCATCAACAATACTGCTTTGGGAGCAGAGTGAGAGATTTCCATCCAGGCATACATTTATTCATTCTTCTTCCATATCAGTTCATATTTGAGGAAATTTCTGATGTTATTCCTTTGTATTAAAGTGTACAATCTAATTATGTTGAATTTACATTTTGCAAAGTAAATATAAATGTCCAAAATTTAAGAGACATAATTAAAGAATCCAAAATACCGAGCAATATTTGTTCCGCATTTACACAAACACGGTCTCAATGGTTAAGTTAGTAGTAACGTGGCTTACAACTGTGTAAACACGTTGCTAATTCATATCAATATCACTAATTTGTTGAACATTCCTCCAGAATCACAAAGATCATACAAGCAACAAATTGATTTGTTTCAACCTTAGTTTCATATATAACAATAAAGAATCCGAAGAATACGCATAGAATCTTGAAACATTTATTGAGAAATACACAAATTATCACTTATAGTAAGGTAAATTGAAGAAAAATATCAAAAATCAGAACATCGACCATTGCGTTCCCAATCGCCATACCTTGTGGGCTCGGGCCCTTTCGGCCCACCGACCTCGCCCGATTCTTTGTTCAGATCAAGTTCGTCGCCGTCTTCTTCTTCTTCTTCTTGTTCCTTTTGGCTTTGTTTAACAGATTCTGGCGTCGGTGTCTGTGGTTGATCCCTAACGGTGTTGGGGTTGTGGTGCTGAGTCGAGGTGGAGAAGAGGAGACGAGTCACTGAGTTGGAAACAGAACGAGTTAGGTGTTCGGATCCGGTGCGGAGGAGAGCAGGGTTGGATGCGGTGGAGAGCAAGCGAGCGAAAGAGGTTGTTGTCATTTTGCGTTTGGGGATGATGTTTCGCAAATGTGGGGAGAAATCAAAACCACAAAATTCGGACTGCACAATGAAACTTTTTTCTTTTTTACATTAAACAAAAATGAAGTATTCATTAAAAAAATAATAAAAATAAAAACAGAGAAATGTTTTTTTTCCTTCTTTTTAACAAAACAGAGAAAAGTATTTAAATAAAGGTTTAATGGATATGGATAGTCATAAATTAATCGTCATCATGTTATTATTATTTTTTTAAAGTGGTAATTGATTGACAAATAAAATTGATTTTCTCTTTAAGTAAATATATGGGTTAATATTTCTGGTTTTTTTTAAAGAAATTGAAAGTTATATTTCACAATAAAAAGATACAATTTTTTTATAAAAAAATGGTAAAAAATAATTTTTTTTATTCTTCACAAAAATATGCATTCTCTTCACTTTTTTTATTAGTTTCAAAAAACAATGACAAAATTATACCGAAGTTCTTTAAGTTATTTTTATATCATGGGTTAGTCTTTTAAATTTCTTTTAATAATTTGATTTTTTAAATTATCAAGCATGTGTATTATTATCTTTTTTTAACATAATGAATGTGCTAATTGTGAAAGCAATTATTTAGAATAATATGAAAATAATGAAGTACAATAAAAAAACAATCACAATTTTTTAAATATTCAAAATATGAAAAAAAAAATATAGAAATCAATCTAAAGGACCAAATTGTTAAAAAAAATTTTAAAAGATCAACTCATTACAAAAAAAACATAAAGGACATCTCATGTAATTTTGTCAAAAACAATTAATCTTTAAACAAGAGATTAATTATAATTTCACTTGTTAATTACGAGACTTCAAACTCAAAAAGGAGTAAAATATGATTAAAAAAATTCAAAATTTTAAAGAAAAGAAAGGAGTAGAAGAGAGTTAGAGTGAAAAGTACATAGTAGTAAAGTAAAATATAAGGAAAAGAAAAAAAACACATTATAATTTATACTACTACGGCCTAAAACCACAAGGCCTTGAGATTTCCATTACCAAAAAACTTTTAACAAAAACTCATCCCTCAACTTTCTTACACAAATTTTTGATCGCAAGTTCAAGTTACAGATTTTATAATTCATTGTAGTTCAAAAGAACAACCTCTCTTGTTTTACAATTTCATATAAGAATGATAAAGCAGCTTTTACACAAGACTTCCAACTCACGTTTCCCCGCACTTGTTTCTCAAGACTTACAACTCACGTTTTTTGTTCTCAACACTTCCCCTCAAATGTGAGTCTATCAACACTACTCCCCCTCAAATGGAAGTTCTTTCATCCACATACACTTGTACTATTGTTGACATTTTTTTAACGAGACATGCCTCCTACTCACCACCATGTGAAGAGGATTTTCGATACAAGTGAGTCGACACTTTACTCAAGCCAATGATGTTAGATGATGACAACGTATATAGAGGGTGAATAGACACCCTTTTAAAATCTCTAGAAAATTTTGATTTTAAAAAAGTTATTTTACCAAAGAGTTTATGCAGAAGCTTTTTTACAAAGTCGTCTATAAGAATAATTATTGGAAACTTGGATATACAACTATACAATAAATTTCAAATGGAGTGAATATACTAAACTTAATTAATAGAACTTATATCAAGTAACACATTATCATTTGTTTGTAGTAAGTTACTAGAGATTATATTTCCAATGCCAATATTTAAAAGAACAAACAAAATCAATTTGTCGAACATTTGATGTGCAATTGAATTTTAAAGAATTTTCCCTTAAGTTGTGTTGATACATAAAAGCACTTATAATCAAAAGTGATTATAAGCAATATCAACGCTTGATTTAAAATATTAAAAAAAAAATAGTTTGAGAAATTTCTTACAATTCAATTGATAATGCAATGCTATTAGACAAATTGATTGATGAATATCAAAGCAAGTAAAAGCGATAATAAAAGAGACACGAGGATTTATCTTTACAGTTCTCCACTTTTATCCTCGTGTGTGGGTACTTCTGCGTCTAACTCCAATGGAATTAGGATAATTCTTACTATGCAAAAAGTTGATACAAGAGAAGTATTCAAGAGCAACTCCACAAACCCTAATGCGTATTGTTGATTCAACCCATTCTCTTCTTTTGATCTTGAGAAAGACCAAGACACAATAGCTACCAATTGGTTATCTAGATCTTCCCAGTCATTTGCATACTTTATCTCTAAAGCTTTCGCGCACCGCCAATTGTACCTATTTCAAACACAAGATTTCAATTGTTATTCGTCGTTCTCTCGCTACTTCCTTTGCATTCTGTAATACGGTGGGAGAACTAACTTGAGTGTTTTACATTTGATCGCAATTGTTGTGGATAGCAAGAGTTTCCACCGACTTTTCTTTTATCCAATTAAGGAAAGGGTGAAAAGAACAAGAAAGACCGTTTGAGATATTTCGTTAAGTTCAGGGGATAGGTTATGAAAAGGGAAGGTGTCAGCACCCTTTTCATATGTAATTATCTACGGGCTCTTAGTTGCTTGATCACTTTGAAATGCTTTATTTGAAATGTATTTGTGATTGTTTTTGAAAGTATTTTTGAAAAGTGTCTTCGTTTAGGAAAACTTTGTAATGATTCTCGTCTCTTTAAGAATGCATACAAAGTGTTTACTTTTGAAAATATTTCATGGAAAAGTATTGGTGTATTTGAAAGATGTTTTGAAATGTTGTGAGCAAGCAACTACGAGCGTTCTACCTACACAAAAAAAGTCTTAGTTCTTTTCCTCCTCCTTAAGATATTTATACCTTACAATTGATTGATAAGAAGCCCTATCATTAGATGTAAAGGGATGGGCGTGGGTCGTCGTATAGTCATAGAAGGCAACATTATAGGATACCTTAGCAATTTTTGTAAGGGTCTAAGATCGTTTACCGAAGGCAACATTGAAGGGTCATCGAGGGACTATGATCTTGTATTCGAGGGTCATTACTAATGTATCCCACGTTCGAGGGACATGACTATTTTTATCCGAGGCAACAAGTGTGGGTTACCCTAGAGGTGCAAGTGTGAAAAGTGTTTGTTTTCATGCATTTGTTCTTGAAATTAGAGTTTGCTACTTGTTAATTTTATGTCTTGCCATACAAACTCTAGTTACTAGCATTTATATTGAAAGCGGTAAATTACGAAAATGTAAAGTCCTACGCTATTACATCGTTTAGGGGATGGGGATACAAATTTACAAATGGAGGTATGAAAACAAATAAATTCTAATTTACTATTACAACCATATTGAATTGAACGATAATGTACAAGAAATGTAAATATAATGTACAAAGAATAAAATGATATGAAAAGAAACGAAAATGTTTTTGTTATGAAAAAAGGGTTTTGACCTAATTAACTTAAAGAAAATAGATTAATTAAACTAAGAAAATTAAACTTAAGTTAATTAAGAAAATTAATTAGATTAAAGAAACAAGTTTAGGATTTTTGTGAAAAGGTTTTAATTAAATTAAATTAGTATATAAAAAAATTAATTAATTAAAAGCCCTAAATTATAAATTAATTTTAAAGAAAAGATAAACCTAAGTCTAAATATTAAATTAATTTTAAGAAAAGAAATTAATTTTAATAAAAAAATGTTTTTTTTTTGCTTTTGGTTTAGAAAGAAATAGTAATAGGAATATACTAAAGTTATAAATGATAAATAAAATATTTTGGAAAATCAAAACCAAACTCAGCATGTATTGATACATAATGGCTTGCATTGGCTCATTTTTCTATTTTGCATCGACACATATCAGCTTTGCATCGATACATGTCATTTTCTTGCTCCTGGAAGTAAACAACAGCTCAGTATGAGTCGACACATAGGGGTTTGTATCGACTCATTTCTGTTTTGTATCGACACATGCACATTTGGTATCGACTCATAACATGTTTTGTACATAGCATGTGTCGACTCATAGTGTTTCGTATCGACTCATACTGTTGTTTTTTTACTTCTAACATTGTTTTGTTGCATATATGGATCAGTTCTCAACATAACGTTAGTGAAAATGAAAAGCAAGTATATGGTTAGCTTCAAGGAAATGATATCTATATTTTATCTTCACAAATGAACCATTAATGATGTTTTATATGAAGAGCTCAAAGTCAAGAAAATTTACCTTGAAGCTGAAATTTGTGTTTTGACTTAGAGTTAGAGAAACCAAGTTATAAGTGGCTGTTTTTTGGTAAATGGTGATGATGATGTAACAAAAGTTGTTCTTGTGTTTGAAAAACTTCTATATGAGGTATATGAAGTGTGTGGATGATTTATTTTGACGGAACTTGTAAGGTGTGAGAGGTTCAAAGATTTGGACTTCAAAGCTCAAGAGTTGAGGTATTATGGACAAAACTGTTTTTTTAGAATATAGGAGTTTTGAGGGCTTGTCAACACAAATAACTTATGCCATTGGCTTGCAAATGACCTCTCTATTTATAGAGGAGGTTTGAGAGAATGAGAGAGTCTGTTTTGCAAGTTGTCAAAATTCTGGTTTAGTTGAGATGAAACAACCAAGTTATTATGAAAATTGGTGTTCCAATGCATGGTACAAGCATGGTCTGTAGTTGCTAAAGGATTTTAGGCATGTTTCTTCTTGCTTTGATATTGTGTATGTGCATAGAAAACAATTGAGAGGCTCAAGGAGTTGACAATTGTATAAAGCTTGCTTTATGTGAATGACAATGGTGCCTTTGTGCTATAAATGGAATGATACAATGGACAATACTTGAATCACTTGGATAATGGTCTAACCAATTGTGTAAACATCTGATTATGGATAGATTTGCAAGTCACAATACCTGCAAAGTAAGATTATGCAGCACATCATGCAAATTTGATTATTTGTTCTTCAACAAAATAACTCGTAATTCAAGAATGGATGCCCAACTTCAGGCCCTTGAATTTCCTAGCTCAAGTATGATAAATTCATGCTCTTGGATGTTTTGGAAAGCTTGAAACATCCTCTATAA